TTTTTTTGCTAAATTTGGGATATTTTTGTGGTATTTTTTGGGGTATTTTTTTGGTATTTTTAAAATTTTTTTTGGGAGTATTTCTTGGGGAGGGCTCCTCCCTTCCACTTCTCCTGGGTGAAAATCCCAGCATTACAGCCCACAGGGCAGTAAAATCACACACTCACAGACAGGAGGCCAAACTGTCCATAAAAAAGCCAAATTTAAACCCAGAGGACTCAGAGGTCTGGCTCCCTGCCCTGTGCATCGTTGCTGCTGGGTCCCTCCATAAATTGCAAACAAAAACCGTGTGCAGCTTTTTGGGTGAGCGATGTGCAAGTTCTGGAGTTCTGCACCAAAAAAAAAAAAATAGGATGCTTAAAGACCAAAGCATGGAATTCTAATACCTAAAATAATACATCCAAAATCCATTTGAAAAGCTTAGTCCATCTAGGTCCATTTTTATGGTTTTAACTACGTCTTACTCTCAGGTGAAATACCTTGTTATTTCCACGCAGCATTACCTTTAGAACAATGCACAAAAACAAGGGCTGTACTAAAGACCTGACTGCTTTTTTTTTTTTTTTTCACTCTCTTTTAAATGTTTTCTCCCTCTTTTTATTCCATCAGTTGCCTTCTCCTGTCAAATGGCACTGCCTATTGCAAGTGTGCAGCTGGATTCGAGGGGAACGGGACATTCTGCACAGGCAAGTGAACTTGGTTTCTTCTCTTTTTGGGGAAAAAAAAAAAAAGAAAGAAAGCAAATAAACATTCTTGAAGCACTCTCTGGTCACAGGAGAGCTGGTGAGAGATGAGCAGTTCCCTGTGCACCAGTTAAAAACAGGAATTGCTGCCAGTTCACTCCAAAGAGCAGCCAACAGGTGTGGGTTCATGGCAAACAAAGGGCTCCAAGTTGTAGGGCATTGTGCTCAGGGAGGGCAGAGAAAAGGGAACGTGCTGTGCACAGCCCAGCCCCATTGTTTGCAGAGCAATGGAACCTGCTTTGGCACTTTTACTCCCTTTCCCAGCAAAGAGAGAACGATTCAGGGTGTTCTTTCCAGCTGTTGGAGGCTGTGYAGCTCTACCATATCCTCAGGTTTCTGGTGTGGTAAAATCCATTTCTTTAGCCCAGAGAGATTTAGRAGATCCTCAGAAGGGGGCAATAGCCCCTTGTCCTAGATGCTCCTCCAATAATCTGGGTTATCCAAAACAGACTGCTTCCAGCTATAATAATCATAATTGTATTTTTTCTTAATTCTTARCTGATTAAAACACTAATGCTTTTGAGAAGAGAAGCCCATTTTTCTGCTCACTCACAATGACTGGCAGGGGCCTAATCCCAGATGTTTTACTCATCCTGCTTTCATTTTCTTTTTTGGCACAAGACCACCAAATCCATTTAAATTGACTGAAGGGCAATTCCCGTGTGCAGGAAGAGCTGGGTCACCAGTGACTCTGCACTCACCCTTGTTCTCCTCCACAGCACTCCAAACTAGTGGCAGGGAAAATCAACTCCCTGCTTTGAAGTTGCTGAAACAGCTTTTTAGGGTAATTTGAAGCAAAAAAATTAAAGCAATGTTCAAGCTGGTTTGATTGACACTGTCGACCAGATGAGGTTCCCTCTCTGCTCTCCAGTTGTGAGCATCCAACTCATCCAGAGCTGGAGGAACAATCTGAGTATCCATCTGAATAATAAACAGGATTTTCTGTCACAGGAGGGGCTGGGTGTTWTAGTTTAGGCCTCCTGCAAGAGGAGTTATGTGATCTGTGTGCAGAATATAGGTAGTGCAGAAAAAGCTTGAATGGCCATTTAAACTAGAGAAGAACGTGGAGATCCCTTTTATTGGTGTTTTGTTGAAATGAGCAGAACTGGAAGATGGAAAGTGASTGAAAGGCAGTCCTTCCACAGTGGAAACATCATCTCAGCTTTCCCCCTTGGAACAATAATAGGTATTAAATATCTGGCACTAACAAAGTCCGTGGTCTCTTAAATCAGAAAGACYCTGTGTTCCAAAAAGTCAGTAAATCCCTTCTAAAAATGGAGACAGATGCTCATGAGCAGCAAKAAGGCAGTGCAGCACACTGATTTAACTCTGTTGATGTCCTGCCCAGCCATCAATGCCTGTGAGAGCAGCAACGGGGGCTGCTCTGCCAAGGCCGAGTGCAGGAGAACGGCACCGGGGAGCAGAACCTGCGTGTGCAGCCCTGGATACACCGGGGACGGGATCGTCTGCCTGGGTGAGAACAACCTGCCTC